ATTAGTGTCATTTTCTAAAATATGTTCTTAATGATGGAGACCTGACAAACCACCTTCATGTGTAAAGAGACATGAAGTAAGATTTTCAGGTCATCTCAAGAATATCATATAAGTATCATAGTTATGAGTGTTCGACGAGAAAATGACGATTATTAGCATATTATCAATTTATCGATATCACCACCAAGACTAGAAGAGTCAGTAAATCCAAGACTTCAGCATAGCATAAGATTAAAAGCAAATATCTAATTACTGATGAGAAGCATGAATATGAAGTGTTCAAATTTGACAACAGTCCGAGTGTAATGACAACCCAAGAGATTTGATTATAATTATTTAACGAAGTTCGCAATACAGAAGGAAAGGATTGTGTTGTGCAATGGGATACCAATGTTCTTATGTAGATAGTTAGAGTTACTGCATCGTTCTATAGTATAAAAAAAATGAACTTGGGTATTACTAGTACGCACGACTTGCGTTATTATTGTAGTTTTATATTTATGCACATTTTGGTAAAATCACCTTTATATTATTTTTCTGGAACACAATAACATCGCTTGGCTTAGAATATTTTTCATGATAATTTTATACAAATTTTTGGAAGCGAAGTATATAGTTCTTAAAGGCTAGTCACCAATGACTCAGCGGTTAGACTAAGGGCTTATAACGCTAAAAAATCGGTTTTCGATTCCCGCAGTGGAAAAAGCTTGGATAGTCGATTGTATAGCTCCGTGCGCTTTACAATAAACAAGCAAACAAAAAATCTTGTGGACTATAAATAGTTAATTATCATTTGCTTAATTAAATTTATCTTAATAGTTTATTGGCGCTGACTCAGCCTGACTGGTAATATATACTCATATATTTTGATATATGAGAGTTTAAATCTGAATCGCGAAGGTGTGTTTAAAGTCAAAATATCAAATTTAAAACCCGATTTTATGAATACAATGATATTGTTATTGTTATTTAGTATATGGAGGAATGTGTTCCCGCTTATTATTTAATTATATTTATAAAATTGCTATAATATTAATTTCTAATAGGAAATATAAGTGGAAGTGACGTTTAGACAAACTTACCAATCAGCTTTCACCACGAATTCTACGGCTGTTGATAATTCCGAAATGCGAGTAGTGAGAAGAGGAACGATAGATTTCATGTATTCAGTCCAGGAAGGAGAATATAGGGTCGAACTTAAAGTGAATTCAGTAAAAGTGGCAATTAAAGTTTTATTGCTTTTGAAAAATCCGTGATAACAGTAATTTTTTTAATCATAACCATTGCCGAAGTTAATCTGTACGCATGTATTTTGAATTTGGAAGAAGAACGTGCAACTGAGACTGAGTATTTTGAGTGATTTTGAGATTATGTTGTGGTGAGGTGTGCTTAAACTGAGTTAAAGTTAAACATTGAAAATTATAAACACGTAATTGTGTAAATTATCGATATATAGTGTCAGTGGATTATATATATATAAGCTGTGATTTCCAGTTAGATAACTAAGAACTTGTTAAAGTTAAACCTCCTAGTATAAAGACAGCATACATTTATTTTGTATCGTGCTCCATGATACCATAAAATTTAAATATAGACTGCAACTTTTAAAGCATAGTACTTAGTAAACAGTATTATTATTAATACTAATAGTAATACTATAATACTACACAGCTCAGTACTGTATTCTAAAGACATGGGCTCAGGGAAAAACTATTCACCAAACATTTACAGGATATTTTCATCACTCTGGGTCTTTGTGTATGCTGCAGACAACCATCTGGCAGGTGAGATGTATATTAATTATTTTGGTTTTAATTTTATCTTATATTAGTTGGGTATTTCAAATTATACTGAAGTGAAGGTGCTGTAGTTCTAGTAAGTTGTATATGTGTGTGTATATACATGTATATATATATATAGAGAGAGAGAGAGAGAGACAGAGAGAGAGTGTGTGAGCAGGGCTGACATCTAATAAATGCCTTTTAATCCTAATGAAAGTAAGGTTATGCATATTGGTAATCATAACATTAGTTTTTCTTATAATCATAACTTATAGCTTTGTTGGAGATATTAACTAAAGCTGATGAGGGGAGAAAGATCTGAACTTAGCTATTACAAAATGTTTAAATCCTTCTAGACAAAGTACACTCACTAGCAATAAGACAAACAGAAGTCTAGACTGTATATACAGAAATATTGAGTACAAGTTAAAGTTCACTAGTTCATTCTTTAAGAGTGCTAGTTAACCCTCATTTGGAATATTGTATTCAATTTGTCTTATTCAAAAAAAAAAGATGTTGACTTGTTGGAAAGGGTGAAGAGCTACTACTGTAGGGATAGGTTGAAATATCCTGATATGTTTTTGTTGAAGACAAGAAGGGCCTGGAAGGACATGATAGAGGTTTTTATTACAGATTTGTATTCCATAAATCAAGATGTTTTTATAATCACTGTTAGCATTAAGGCTAGAGGACACAACTCAGACATGACTCTAGTTCAGGCAGTATTACCTTTGAAATAAAACTAAGCTCTTGGAATAGTCTACCTTCATTCAGGAATGATGGAAGCTACACTAAAGGAATTTAAGAGGAAACTAGATGAGTATTTTATAGATCAAGAGCTGATACAGAAAAAGTTGTTTCTATGTTTGTAGTTGGATTAGGATGGTACATTTAGTAGAAAATAAAAATTAGGATAACCTAAATAGAGAAAATACATAACCTGTATGTTTGAATAGTGTGTGTAAACAAGGCAGGTATCAGATGCTAAAGCCACACCACCCATATGTACCTCTATTGTCTGTTTTAGTGGGCAGCCGGAAGTAAGAAATAAAGTATGATTTTATGAATTAGCCAAATAATGTAGAGTATATACTGCATTTTCATACATAAGTGCTTAAATAACACTAAACTAGTAAAGGTATATAATAATGTGATTGTCATAAGATGTTATATAGGTTACAGTAGCTAGGAACAAAGATGTACTATTGGTCATTCAGAATACTAAGTTTAATATGATTATTAACTGAATGTAGTCTAACATTGGGTTGTCTTAATACAAGTGTTCTGTAAAATTTAATATTGTAAATGGTGGTGAAGCTATTATATATGTAGAAGTGTTTAATTTGTTACAGAATTGAATAAACTTGGCATTTACGATAGTTAAAAATCTCATATTTGGGGAGTATGAGCTCTGTGTACAAAATATTGCAATATTAGAATATAATTTAAATTTTTGTGATATTTGGGGAGTATGAGCTCTGTGTACAAAATATTGTAATATTAGATAAATTGTATCTAAATATAATTTAAATTTTTGTGATAAATTGTATTTTCAGAGTTGGGAGCTCTCTTTTCAAAGTATTTACCTAAACCCAAGTACAAAATGTAGAATATACAAAATGAAACCTTAACAAGTATGTGTATTGTTAATTATACCCTAAACCTAAGCAAAAGTATATAATATTTAATCATTTTAATCTGAGAATTACATATTTTTCTAGACTAATTAAGTTAACAAGTTTCATTTATGTTTATGACTTTGCTGGTTAAACTACAAGTCACACACAAAAATTTAATAAAAAATACCATCAAATTCATTCCACTAATCAATACTGTGGTTTCCAAAGTATTTTAAATGAAAAAAAAATTGGGATTTCACCCAAGGTTTTTGTTCAGTTTTTTGTAATAAGTATTGTTACATGAAAATAATATTACTCACTATGATGCAATATATGTGGATCACACTCATATTTAACAATATATCAATTCAGTAGTTTAAGGGTTAGTAGCATTCAATTTCATTCATTGGAATACACATGTAAACACCAAAATATATTATGAGAAGTACATAATTAATAAATAAAAAACTCAAAGTTATCTTTTTGTTTAAATATAATGAGGATGCAGAGGTTTATTAAATGTGCCAGTAGTAAACCCTTGGTAATAAGAATAATGTATCATTAATATAAACAAAAAGCTTAAGTTTTGAAACTTCTACAGTTGAATTTTTTTACATGTTTAGGAGTCAGTGCTAGTACAGCAGATGTAGAAAATCATCTTCATCTTGGAATGCAGCTTCTGGCAAGAGGACAATACAGTGATGCCCTTTCACACTATCATGCTGCAGTTGGTAAGTGAAAAAAGTAATTATAGAGTATGTGTAAGTGAGGTTGATCTTGAATTCTAGATTACAGTAATGAAGAACCATCTAGGTTAACATTAGATGTTTAAAATATGAATATTAAGATAAAAAAAGAACATGCACATGTATACAATAAATGTTGACGAAGTTTACAGCTTCTAATTTTTTTCATCTATCAGATTTTTTTCATTCATGAGTTCTTAGGGCAAAATGTAGCTTCATTACTGAAGCCTAAGAGTCTCTAAAATTTTAACTTTATAGTTCAGTTTTTCCTAGATGATATTCAATGTGAATATTTTACATAAATTCATTAACATTTCTTTAATTCATTCATATAACATTTTCTGAAACAGATGGGTGTTACTGATATCTCTCTTCTTTTTTTTCTCTCACAGAGGAAATACTTAACCAAACTGCATAGAACTTAAAATAAAATTACTGAATAGTACTTAGTTTAGGCTTTAAAAATATCAAATAATTTGACATAGTTTTTTTCCTATCATGAAATTTCCAAAATTGTTTCAAGCCACATTTCTTTTGATACTTTAATTTCTTGATACTACATCTGTCTACAAGTCATAAAAACTGCTAAAACTGACAGATTTGTCAATAATGTAGACATCAGGTCAGGGTGATTAAAAATATTTTTGTCACAATATATTTGATTGAGATTATTTTAGCTCTAATAAATATAGTTTCTTTTGAGGTGATACACATCTTCACACAGAAAGCCATTTTCCTCATGCATCTGTCTTGGAGATAAGACTTGCCATTAGCCTTTAGGCAACTCCCACCTAAAGTCAATTTTTCATGACTTGCACTACTGCACATCAATATACTAACTGTTAATGAAAGCAACAAAAAATAAATAATATAGTATAATTTACTTTGGAAACACACAAACAATAGTTCTTGTCTTGAACCTTTGTTGCAGAAGTACATTCCTATCACTATTAAGTACTGTAACTTATAACCTGGAATTTGAAAATAACTAATATTATTAGTACTCTCCAAATTTAACCACGTTTTAGTCATTTCAATTATATCCTAGTCTTCCATTTCAATTAGAACTCTGAACTTGGCTGTTTTGTTCCTAATGCTCCTAAAATTGGAATAAGAATTAATGCAACTTTGTTATAGAATCTACTATGGTTATCTTTAAATCTGACACTTATCATAAAAATTATTACTTGACTTATGTTCTAAATCTATTTCAAAATTTCTTTGTAAGTATTACACTTTGTAATTCATAGGCATGAAATTCTCAGTTTGAGTTCTGGTGATAGAGTAGAAATATTGATAAAATAAATATAATTGCATACATTGTTTGAAAGATAGCAGCTACCGATTATAGTTCAATTCTTTTTTTGTAACCAGTAATAGCTATAGGTCGATGATCTCCAATCCTTTATCTAAGTGCTATTTCTTCTTTCTGGTGTAGATAGGTTTCTTAGTCTTTTGTGATCCTCTCTCATTTTTTCTCTTACAGTTTTGTGACTGTTTCAGTCAATATGGTGTCCTTTATCTCCAATGTGTTCAGATGTAACTGATATATTGGTTGTTATTAGACAGGCATTGTCTACTTATTTATTGACATTTTTTCTAGATGGTTATCTCTTATATTGTTGCTTATGCACTACCTCAACCTGAACATGAGGTTTTATAAGTCATTTCTTTTATTCTCATATGATTAGAATGTTTCTTTATAGTGGGTACGATGTTTCTTAGAATATTTCTGGCTGTAAAACAAATTTTCTACAAACCTTACAACTGATTTACACTACATGTAATTTGTTTTTGATAAAAAAAAAAGAAAATTGACCAGTGATACCAACACCTACACACAGAAGAGCCACAAATTGTATGATTCACCAGACAAGTTTTCCATTTCAACAGTAGTTACATACTTTTTAAATAATCAAACTTTTGTTGTATAATTACTTTTAAACTGATTGTAGTAGTTCTATGGTTAAAATTACTTTTTTTTTATTACCTAGATGGAGACCCATCAAATTATTTAACCTATTTCAAGAGAGCAACAGTTTACCTTGCACTTGGAAAATCTAAGGCTGCTCTGGAAGACCTGAACAAAGTTATAGAACTTAAGTCAGATTTTTTAGCAGTAAGTATTTACATTGTTGTATTCAGGAATTGTACATAATAAGAATGCTATTAAACATTTAGGAAAACATTTAAGAGTATTTAGCATACAATAAACTTTACTTATGCTACAAGTCCATTTAGGTTCTAACTGTTATCTTTTACATGCTTATTGATTATACTGTAATTCTTTAAACAAATTCTTTTTTCTTTCTTAATGACTATGTGATAAAATAAATCAATCAAAATGAATATGCAAGTATTTTTTCTTGCATTCTGCTGGCCTGGCATGGCCAGGTGGTTAGGGCACTTGGCTCACGATCTGAGGGTCATGGGTTCCAATCCTTGTTCCGCCAAACATGCTCGCCCTTTCAAATTTGGGAGCGTTATAAAGTGATGGTCAATCCCACTATTCGTTGGTAAAAGAGTAGCCCAGGATTTGCAGTGGGTGGTGATGACTAGCTGCCTTCCATCACTGCAGAATTAGGGACGGCTATTGCAGATAGCCTTCATGTAGCTTTGCATGAAATCTAAACCAAACCTTACATTCTGAAAAGGAAATGATACCTTATACCTGTACTATATAAACAAATCACCCAAATACCTTGTAAGTTTCAACATAACTAAAATTAGAAAGAAGTTAGAATTAAGCGATGAAAAACTAATACAAATTAGTGACAATATTCAAAGAACATCATAATGTATGAATTTTGCTGCAATTGGAAGTTTAAGGTCTTAAAAGGAGGGTATATTCGAGAAAAACATTGACATGTGATTTATTGTTACTAAAAAAATCAATTTTAAATAGGTTTAAAAAATATTCCCAGTAATAAATGCAGAGGTACAGGACATGTATAGAGTTCAAATCAGCAGTAGAACTATTTTATGAAGGTTGCAAGAAAGTGGTCTAATATTTCATGTATAAACATGTCAAGCAATTGCTTACTTTGTTTCATCAGTCAAAGCTTATTGCCCATTTATTCTTAGAATTGTTGTGATCTTTTGCAAAGCCTAAGTAAATGTTTCATCAGTCAGCAGATTTTTGTTTTTAATGGTTCCAAGGGATGTTCAGAAGATTTGCAATAATAAGGGGAGAAAGTTCAGAGGGATAGTACTTTATTTCCTATTATACCATTCCACTAACACGTTTGAAAATAAGACCCCCCTCTCAAAGTTGACCTTTTATGAACAGTCTTCATTATATTTAGTCTTGAAAAACAATATGTATTCTCTGCTTTTTTTTATATTTTGTGCATAAATACTACACTTTTTGACAAATCAGAATTTAGATATGTTTTCTCGAGCTTGCAAAATGACATGGTTATAGCGTAGACTTGTTGTGTGAAAAATTAGTTAATGTGCAATTTTAAGGTAGAATAAATTAAAAACGTGTCATAGGTTATTAAGTGACATGATGAATTGGGGACTAGAAAAAACAAATTCTGTTGGGACTGATTGTAAAAAAACTAGAGACTATATTTTGACATATTAAGTAGTAAAGCTTATTGTTGAAAGAAAAGTATTGTTAAAATAATTAACTGCTACCTGTAGTAAACAAAAGTTCTATCAAAGTCACAGAGTGAAAAAACAAAAAGATAGGATAAAAACTTAAATTAAATAATTAAAATTATAGGTGCCATCCTATGACACTAAGACCCATAGTCTCAGCATACGACAGTGCGACTGAAAATCTGTCGTGGCTTATGCATACAATTTTGGTGCCATTACTAAATTATTTTCCAGCCCACTTAAATAATACATAAGATTATGCAGATTAAGGATGTTCCTCACTTAGTACCAACACAACAATACTCTTTACAATGGACGTCATAGCTCTCCACCAATCTATACAGATAGAAGATGGCATCAGTGCAGTGTGTGAATTCCTGTCGAGTCACATAAACAATTTGGAGATGTAAGGACTGACAATAGACACTGTCAGAGAAATCATATATTTCATCCTTCCCAATGGATATTTTGTTTTCACAACAAACTATATCTCCAACTCAGTGGTATCTCAATGGGTAAATGAGTTGCTGTTATTTATGCCATAATATTTATGCACATTTTTGAAACAACTTGACTTGACAATGGCATCAAAATACTAACACCAGTCCTGATCTCTGGATTAGATACATTGATGATGTGATTGGACTATGGAACCAGGGTCTTCCTTCTTTAATCCAATTTTTAGACTTTCTAAGTTCCATAGACCCCAACATCCAATTCCCCCTGAATCATTCGAATGACAAGAAGAACAAA